TTTGCTAAGATTCTTTAGGTTCAGTTTTATTTACCACAACTACGATTTGTGGTTTTTTAACCCTATACGTAGTGTTTTAAGTGTTTTTCCTTTTTTTTTTCTTTTTTTTCACTATTTTTTTCTTCTGCAACACCTTCTTCTTTTTGCCAAATAGATTTTTTATTCCCTCTTTTTTTCTTTCTATTTGGCTATTTTTATTTCTCCTCAAACTATAATAATCACGAAAAATTTTTTTTTTATCACTATTTTTATAATATAGAAAAAATCCTTTCGGTCAGTGAAACTCGAGACTTTTCTTCGAAAAATTTGCAAAAAAAAAAAATTTTCCCCGAGGTGAAAAAAGAATTTCTCCTTTTTCGAAAGAATTGCAATTTTCCCCGAGAAAAAGAAATTTATTTTTTCCGGAAAATTGGTAAAATAATTTTCGAAGAAGGAAAATCGAAGCAAACTGTAGTTCTTTTTTTTTCAAGAAAGAGAAAAATTGCGCATGGACTATAATAATATTTTCTAGCTAATCAGGTAATTAATTAACTAAATAATAAATTAATTAATTAATTAAGTAATTAACTAATTTATTAACTAAATAATTAATTATTTAATTATATTTTAATAAGTAGAAGAAAAAACTGAGTTCGGCTAATATTCATCGCTTTGAAAGGGAAGGCGAAGACATTTTCTTTCACGGCCCGAGAAAAACTTGCACAAGCAGAGCGAACATATTTTCCATTTATTTATCATTGCAATATATTTATTGTGTTAGTTGGCATCGTACGATTGTATATATAATAATAGTAATAATATAAAATTGTCATTTAAAATAAACTCTAATGAGAAGCGAAGAAAAAATCAACAACGAGAATTAATAATTAATAATTAATAATATTCAATAAATAAAAACAAGAGCAATTTTTTCTATATTTTCCAAATATTTCTCTCGTGAGTAAAAAAATTATTTTGAAAAAACCTTTTATTTTCCAAAAAGAAAATAAATTCTTTGGAGAAATTTATCGAAAAGAAAATCATTTCTTAATTTTTGAAAAATATGGAAAAATTTGTCTCTTTCTTTCTTTCACAGAGAACAATCGGGAGGAAAAGAGCTTGTGCTTTTAAAGTTAAAAAAAAACGATCAGCCGGTCCAGCCAGCTAATAAATATATATTTATTTATATATTTATATTTATAGTTATGTATAATATAACTCTGTCAATCGAGTTTTTCTTTCTCTGATCCGTCTGGCATTAAATAGCGCATCTTTGGTATTGTCGATTTGATCGCTCCACTTGTCAAGTTTTTTTTTATATCTTTCTTTCCTGTTTATATAATATTGCAATTCAATAAAAATTTGTCATATTCTCTCAAAAATTGCATTTTATACATATATTTATTTTCTCTTGCCGTTTTTTCTTGTGTGTATATAAATTCAACGGTTTTTTTTCTTTCTATTCAAGAATATATTTGGAGAGAATTCAACAAGATTTTTTTTTTTAATAAAAAAAATATATATTTTTTATGGAATAAGACTTTGAAAACGCTTCTTTTCGATTCGCTTCGATCGCACGAAGAAAAGTGCTCTCTCATAACTCTCACGAAATTAACTAGAGAAAAATCTGATTCATTCGTTTACACGCTTTGAGATTTTAATGACAAAAGAAAAAAAATCGTTTAAAAATCGTTTCTGCATTTTTTTTATCCACTGAGAAATTTGTTTTCTTTCTTTTAATCGTTTAAAAAATTCGTTTCCATTTTTTTAATCAATTTAAAAAAAAAGTTTCTATTTTTTTGAAATATTTAAAAAATTTATTTCCATTTTTTTATTCGTTTCGAATATTTTTCTCGACTAAATTTTCCAATATTTCCCTCTTTTTCAAAAAACGAATTTTTTCCACAAAAAACAATCCTCGCAGTTCAATTATTCGACATTTTTATTTTATTTCAATTTTCCTATAATAAATTTTATTTTATTAATTGTCTATCACATAAATAATTATTCTTTCTTGTCGAGAATAATTCCGAGGAAGGAAACAGAAAACTTTTGAAAATCGAAAAAAAATTGTTTTGCTTCCCTTTTGAGATTTCTATAAAAAAAAAAAAAAACAGAAGAAAAACTTTATAAACGATTGAGTAAAATGAGATTATTGACCGACTTAGAGGGTTCGAAAATATTGAAGATTCTTTATTTTCTTACATAATAATAAAATTCTCCGGATAACAACTTTTTCCCTCCTCCTCCTCCTTCTACTTCTCCTCTTTCTCAATTCAAACACGAGTTTTAAAACTCGAGAAAATCTGGGTTAAAATTTTCACGATATTCCTTGAATTTTTTTTCCTTCTTGCTTTCGTTAAATTTCAGAATTATGTTTTGTTTATGGAATTTATGATAGAAAGAAAGAAAGCAAAAAAAAAAAATGTTCCGTTTGTTTAGAAGCAAAACAAAGTTTTCTGCATTTACTCTCTTTTTTCTCTTTTCCCTTTGGTCTTCATGGAAAAAATATAAAACAAAAAATTGAGAAATTTTCCGAAGTTTAAATTTAAAAACTTTATTTTCATTTCCAAATATTTAAATTTGAAAACTGCTTTTAAAATATCTAATTTAAAAACGATTTATTTACTTTTAAAAATTTCCAATTGGAAATTAAAATTGAAAAAATGATTTTTTCTCTCGTGAAATTAAATCTCTGACGAATCGAATAAATCAGAAATTTTCAAAGAAAAAAAAAAAGTTTCTGAAAGACGATCGTTTCTAAACCTAAGCTAAAAACTCGTACGACAGTTTCACTGCGCAGCCCGTTATTATTATTTAATTATTTTTTTTCATTTTTCATTTTTTAGAGATAATCTAAAAACCATCTAACTAGACGTGATAATGCGTGGCTCTGTGTGTGGTGATTATTAATGTGTGATCAAGCCCCGTATCGTGGTGTATCACAGAACAATTGTAGTATTTTTTTTTTAAATATATATATAGATAGATATTTCTTTTTCACTTTCTCTCTCTCTCACTCTCTCTCTTTCTTTCTTTCCCTTTTTCTCTCTTTTTTTCTCTTTCTCTCTCCCTTTCGCTCTTTTTTTTCTCTCTCTCTATATATATATATGCATATGTATATATAATTAACGTAATAATATTATTCTTTTTTTTTACGTACGAATTCTTAAAAAGTAGATCAATGTTAACGAGCCGTGATGGATGAATGAATGGTAAAATGTAGCGACAATGCAAGCGCTATAGTGATGCTGCGATAGGTGACGACGGGTGGTAAATTTTTTTCTTAACGGGCGATTTTGGTGAAAATGACATATTTTTTGTCTTTTTTTTCATCTTTTTGAAAAATAAAGCAAAGGAAAAAATAGAAGAGAATGATGAAAATGGTCATTTTCATTATCACATTTCTCTTTTTTCTTTTTTTGAAAATGGAAAAAGAAGAAAAGATGTTTCTTTTTCTTCTTTGAAGCGATAGTAATTTTCAATGACGGGGAAAAGAATGCTGAAAGTTATGTGCCGAAAATGTATCTTTTCGGAGGCTGCGAATGAATTTTTTCTTTAAAATACTCTGAAATTTGTCGGCAAAATTTTTGTTCTATTTGGCGAAAAATTGGTTTCTTTCGTTTTCAATTTAAATTGTATTATTCCAATTTAAATTCAACTATTTCAATTTTTTCAATCTTAATTTAATTTTTTCACTTTAAAATCAATTTTTTCAACTTTAATTAAATTTAAATTCAACTATTTCAATTTAAATTCAATTATACTAATTTGAATTCATTTTTTTCAGTATCAATTCAATTATTTCAATTTAAATTCAATTTTTTCACTTTAAATTCAATTTTTCACTTTAAATTCAATTTTTTTAATTTGAATTAAATTTAAATTAAATTATTTAAATTATTTCAACTTGAATTAAATTTAAATTCAATTATTTTAATTAAATTTTTACATTGTCAAGTTCATTTGAATTTAAATTAATTTTTTTCGAAATTAATTTAAATTTCTACTAATTTTTTTTTAAATTGAATTTAAATTTTTTTCTTTTAATTTTTATTCATTTATTTCAACTTGAATTCATTTAAGTCAATTTTAATATATTTAATTTCTATTTAAAGTAATTTTTTCCCAAATTAATTTCAATTTCAATTAATTTTTTACCAAATTAATTTAAATTTAAGTTATAATTTTTTTAATTTGAATTCATTTTTTTTAATATCGAATTTAATTTGAAATTTTAATGTATTTTTTTTTAATTCCCATTGATTGATTTAATTTTAAATTCAGTTATATGATAGTTTTAAAAATTTAACCGACAAAAATTCAGAGTTATTGCTAAACTAAAAATAAAATATACATAATATTATAACAAAACTAAAAGTTATTATTTGAAGAAAAATTTCTCTATCGAATTCTTCAAATATCCCGTAGATAAAATCGTAAAATATTCCTCGCAATTTCTTTTTCAGAAAAAAAAATCTCAATTGCTACAAGCAAAAAGAAATATCGATTTTTTAATATTAAAATATTTTAATCAATTCAAAATATTCAAATATTTTAATGAACTCAAAATATTCAGATATTTTAATGAACTCAAAATATTAAAATATTTTAATGAATTCAAAATATTCAAATATTTTAATGAATTCAAAATATTTAAATATTTCCATGAAATTTCAAATATTCCAATATTTCAATGAATTCGAAAAATTATTCCAATATTAAAAAATCAAATGAAGTAAAAATTCTTGCAGCATCCGAAATTTCCACAACTTTTCTTTGTTTTTCTTTTCTTTAAGGGTGGGGGGGTGGAGAAAGCGAAGAAAATAAAAATATGGAGCGTGCGAAAAAAATCCGAAAGTGTGTTTAAAAAAAATAATGAGTGATTGAGTAAATAAAAAGAGTGGGAGGAGATGGAGAAAAAGAAGAACTTGGAACTCAAAGAATTTCGGTCTCAATGTTACCAAAACCCTTTGAGAAAACTTACAGAGAAAAAAAGAGTTTCGCTTAAAGAGTTTCGGTTCAATGTTTAGGAAACGCTTTGAGAAAAAAAGCTACAGTTTCGGTCCAATGTGACGAAACCCATTGAGAAAGAAGTTACAACTTTGCACAAAAAATTTCGGCCCAATGTTTGCGAAACTCTTTGAGAAAAAAGCTGGTTTCTTTCAAAGAATTTTTGCCCAATGTGACGAAACTTTTTCGAGATAAAAAGCTACAACTTCGTTCAAAGAGACGAAAATGAAAATATGGAAAAAAGTTACTTTCGGTCCAATGAGACGAAACTCTTTGAGAGAAAAAAAGAAAAAAGAGAGAGAAAAAAAGGGGAAAGGAGTAAAAAAAAAGAGAAAAAAGCAGAGAGAGAAAGAAGAAGAAGAAGAAAGTCGACTCGAAAGACTCGATGGTAGAAGAGAGGCAAATAGACGCAAGGAAGATGAGGTTATTAAATCGTTAGGTGAATCAATGAATCATGCCGGCGATTGCGTTGTGACGCGCTCGTTTCGCCTCCTCTTCGCTGATCCTCTGCTCGATGAGATATTGAGCAGTGCCGATAGCATTTGGGAAACCCGTGATAGTCACTATACGGTTCCTGGTACCAGGCGCAAACATGCCCTTCTTCGAGATTTGAATGTTGGCGCCACTTAGGTGCTGAATCTCAATGAGGGCACGACCACCGGGTCCCAGAATAGCTCCCACTATAACCTCTGCAATTTCTATATCTACTTTCTTGGTCTCCTTGCTGTTGACGTCTACCTGATTAGGACTCTTACTTACGAGTGATAATTGATTGGTGCCGAGGCCAAATGAATTGTTGTTGAGATGAATTGCACTGGCCGCTGCTGCCGCGGCAGCCGTGTTGTTCTGACGGAATGGATCGAACGGCTCAAATCTATCGAGAGCATTGCGTGGCGTTGGCGATGTTGAGCCAATTGCCGGTACAGTGCCAATTGGTCCGAATACACCGCCATTGTTGTTTGAACCATTGACTGTTGTTGAACTGTCCATTGGCGTGCCGAGATAATTTATGCCCGATGGCATTCCAATTCCCATTCCGAGGATATTGTATTTGGCGAGTGTTGCGAATGCTGCTATGATCTCGGTCACGGCCGGCTCAGTGAAGCCGGTCGCTCGCAAGTTCAATTTCAAATGTTCCAACAGCTGCGTTGTTACTGGCGCGGTTCCCGTTGTCATTGCCGTGCCCAAATTCAAATTCAGACTTAGACCCGCGCCATTCAGGAGGCTCACTGCAAAAAAATCATCATTCAGTTATTATCATTTCAACATCATCGTCTCTTCTCTCCAACTACTAACTCAACTTTTTTTACTCTTTCTTTCTTTATTTTTTAAAATCTGCAGGGTTGCCACAAAAATTAAATTTTCTTTTTCCCTGACTTTTCCCTGATTTAGGGCTAATTCCACAAACCTCAATTAAAAGTTAATCAATGAGTAAAGTCAGTTTAACGGCTCATGATTGGTTGATTGAGGATTTGATCATTGATTAACTTTTAATCGGTATTGGTGAAACTGTCCCTTAGAAACAAAATTTCGACTTTTTTTTCTACAGAATAGTTTGATTCACTCTAAAAATTATAATTTGTAAATAAATGTAATAGAATTTGTTATTTAGTATGTAATATACTAAAAAAAAGATTCTATTACATTTATTTACGAACTTCTTCCTCTTCTTCTTCTTTCCAATTAAATTTATCAATAACTTTTTAAATAATTGACTTCTGATGAAGTCAAATTAATTTTTAATAAGAAAATTCTTCGAGAATTCGATTATTTAAATACAAAAATAAATAATTTATTAAATAATTAAATATTTCTTAAAATTGAATTTTTATGTAGAATTATGTAGTATAAAAAATAATTTAAATTCTACGATAAGTTTTGTTATTTATGAAAATAATTGAATTCTTGAAACGAAATTCATTGAATTTTTTTTAAGAACTAAATGCCTATGAAGAATTTTGTTTCTGAAAATAATTGAATTCCGGAGAAAAATTTTAGAATTTTGTGGGAAATTTTTTTAAATAATTAAATTTTTCAGAATTTTTTAAAACTTTTTAAAAATAATTCAATTTTTTCGAAAAATTCCATTAGAAAAATTAAAATAATTGAAATCTGACAAAGAATTTTATTAAAATAATTGAATTCCTGTAAAAAATTTATTTTTTGAAAATAATTAAATTTTTGGGATCGATTTTTATTAAAATTTCTTAAATAATTGAATTCCTTGGAAGAATTTTATTTTTACGAAAATAATTAAATTCTATGATAAATTTTATAATTTTTCAAATTTATAAAGCATTTTATCAAAATTTTTTAAAATAATTGAATTACGGAGAAAAATTTTATTATTTATGATAAAATAATTGATTTCTTGCGAAGAATTTTATTCAAATACTTTTAAATAACTGAATTCCCATAAAAAATGTGTTATTTGTGAAAATAATTAAATTCTTAAGTCAAGAAGAATTTGTATTAAAAATAATTGAATTGTATCGAAAATTTTTTTTTAAATTACAATTTTATTAATTAAATCTTGTAAAGAATATTGTCAAAAATTTTTTAAATTATAGAATCTTTTAAAGAATTTTAATTAAATTTTTCGAAATAATTGAATTTCTTGGAACTATAATGGAATTCTTTTGAAAAATTTTATTAAAATAGTGTATATTAAAACTTTAAAAGTAATTAAAATTTGATAAAATCTCTTTAAAATAATTAAAATAAGTTGGAATTTCTTCAAGAAATATGGCATTTTGTTGCAATATTTAAAAGAAAAGTCGAAACAGTCGTAATTTTTGAAAATAAATCGAAAAAAGTCGATAAAGACATAAATATGATACAAGGTCCGTGCACGTGTTAAAAAATTAATGTCTCAAGTTCCAACAAAATGAGTGTTAAAGATTAGCGTAAAATTACTTTTACTTTGTTTCCGCACGCAACCAATTTTCAAAAAAAAAAAACAATACATTTTCTTCCTATCTACAGACAAAGACCAATAATAATAATTATTACACATTATACGCTTGAAAAACGTGAATATTTCCCTCTATAAAGAAAACTAGTCATTAAAAATATATCTTTAAGCAGATAAATTAATCGCTGATAAAATTCTGCAATTTGCTAAATAATTTATTCATTAATGCAAAATGTTTCCAATTTCATTATTATCTCTAGAATAATGCTAATAACGAGAATGAAAAAAATAAAATTCAATTGAATACAATTTAGAGTTTAATATTTAACAAAATTTCATCACTTTATATTTTAGGAGAATTTATCGATATTTCCCTCTTCACTTTTTTGCTTTTGTTAATTTATAAAAAAAATACTAAATAGGAAAAGGAAAAAAAATAAAGGAGAAAAAATGGAGAAAGAGAAAAAGTAGGAAAAGAAAAAAAATACAGAAAGAGAAAAATTAGAAAAAGGAAAAAAATACAGAAAGGGAAAAAATAGAGAAAGAGAAAAATAAGAAAAGCAAAAAAATACAGAAAGGGACAAAATAAAGAAAGAGAAAAAATAGGAAAGGGGAAAAAAATAAGGAAAGGATATAATATAAAGAAAGAGGAAAATTAGAGGAGGAGAAAAAATACAAAAAGAGAAAAAAAAATAGAGAAAAAATAGAAAAAAGGAAAAAATAGAGAAAGAAAAAAAGGGAAAGAAAGGAAATTATTATTAGATTGTAGAACAATAAATAAAAACTAGGAATTGTACACAATTTCAAAACAAAAATGAAATTTATCTCATGCATTAAAAAAAATCCCAAACAAATGCAAAAATCAACATTATTGAAATAAAAAAAAAATATATTCCTCCTCTCTACATTATATATATACGTACAAATATGACATTCAGTTAATTGGACGCGATTTGTCATATGTATTTGGATTGGAAATAATTTTTATATTTGAAAAAAATAAAGAGAAGAGAGAAAAATAATACAAACCTGTGTTTAAACCAGCAGTTGATGTATACGTCGGTGTGCTCGTGGGGGCTTGAGCGTATGGACTTCCGGTTGGATTATAATTGGCTACAGGACCACTGACGTCCGCGTAACTCACATTGAGACACGTTCCACTTTGTGGATCGTCAGCAACTTTTGCCAGGATCATCAGTAAAGCGTTGCGATTATTTTCCTTTTCCCCAATAACGGTGATGCATCGTTCCTGCAAGGACAAATCTTTTGCCTTTTGACTAATCTGAACGTACGATCCCGATTCTTCTTTTATTTGTTTTATATAATTGCCGGCCTTTCCAATGATCATTCCGGCGGTGCTGTTTGGTACCAGAATTTTCACCTGGAAATAAAAAAAAATTAAAGATTAGAATTAATTTCTGTATTTTTTTTCCTTCCGTATTTTTTCTTTTCTTTTTTTTCCATTTCTCTTTATTTTCCTCTATTTTCTTCCCTTTCTCTATTTTTTCCCCTTTCTGTATTTTTATCCTTTTGTCTATTTTTTCTCTTTCTGTATTTTTTCTAATCTATTTTTTCCCTTTCTCCATTTTTTCTCTTTCTGGATTTTTTTTCTCCTTCTTTATTTTTTCCCTTATCTAATTTTCTCTTTCCCTATTTTCTTATCTTTCTGTATTTTTTCTTCTTTCTCTATTTTTTTCTATTTCTTTATTTTTTTTCCTTTTTCTATCTTTTCTCTCTCTGAATTTTTTTCTCCTTCTTTATTTTTCGCAAAAAATTTGTCAACTACTTGAAAATTCTAAAAAATTGATTAAATAAAAATCTGGAGTAAAAATAAATTCTGCAATTTTCAGTTAAATAGAAATGAAAATTGGTCGTAAATTTCGAAACTGAAAAAAGATTTTCAGGTAAAATATTCTTTGAACAATAATTGTTCTTGTATTTTATTTTCAACTTGTTTTTGCAATTGCTTCCGACTTGTTATACACAAAGTCAGCGATCAAGTTTTATAATGACGATTAATTATCATGCAAATCGCAATTGTTGACGCTTCATTTTCTCGAATGGCGAGTATTTAAATTTTTCTTTCATCATTTTATCTCTGCAATAAAACTCAAGTCGAAGGTGGTGCTTTGTTGTGTTTAATTTTCATGAACAATCGAAGATTATTTTTCGCAATAAAGAAATAAATCAAGGTAAAAAGAAAAATAAAGTAAAGGAGAAAAAGAATAAAGAAAAGAAGAAAAATAGGGGAAAGAGGGAAAATTAAGGGAGAAAAAATACAGAAAGATAGGAAAATAGGGAAAGAGGAAAAATTAGAAAAAGGGAAAATTAGAGGAGAAAAAAATACAGAAGGAGAAAAAATAGGAAAAGCAAAAAAATACAAAAGAAAAAATACAGGACAAAAAATAAAAATAGGGAAAAAATAGTAAAAGGGAAGAAATACACAAGGAAAAAAATAGGAAAAGAGAAAAAATACAGAAAGGGACAAAATAGAGAAAGAGAAAAAATAGGAAAAGGGAAAAAAATAAGGAAAGGGAAAAAAAATAAAGAAAGAGAAAAATAGTAAAACGGAAAAAATAGAAGAAAAACAGAGAAAAAAAAATAAAGAAAAAAAAAACATATAAAAGAAAAAAAATCGAGAAAAGAAGAAAAACACAGAACCGAACCAAAAAGATGATTGCGAATTAAATTGTAAAAATAAGTGATTCACACATGAAATGGATTCAATTTTTTTTTGTTTGTTGAAAGGATGCAAATGTCCTTTTTGCCTCAATTAAGAGAGTTCGAAGGTCAACGTGATGTATTTTTGAATTGTTCACATTTCTGATCATTAGCCATACAAGCCTATTCTAACTGGGTCATTGCTAACAAGCAAAAGTCTCATACTCTGACTTCATTGCTCCCACTGGACGCATTTAATTTTCCCTTCAATATATATACATGCATACATACATAATCTTTGCTCATGAATCGCACATGATTGTCGCCTCACATATTATTACAAATTACGCTACATATTCGAGCATTCTGATTTCTCAATTTTTCTCCACTTAATAGAAATAGAAAAAAAAATGTTTACGCACGAAAAAAAATATTAATTCTCATCTAGAATTTTACTTGATAAATTTTTTTTAATTAAAACAAATTTTCTCAATTTTAGTTATTAATTTATCAACGACTAAAATTATTATCATTTTTTATTTCTATATTTTTTCTCATTCCTTATTTTCTACGGTTTCTCTATTTTCCCCCTTTTCCTATTTTTTCTCTTCCTATATTTTTCTTTTTCTGGATTTTTACTCTTTCTGTATTTTTTCTCTTTTCCTATTTTTTCTTTTTCAATATTTTTTCCCTTTTTCTATTTTTCTTTTCTCTATTATTCCCTTTCTGTACTTTTTTCTCTTTCTGTATTTTTTCTCCTTCACTATTTTTTCCCTTTTCCTATTTTTTCTCTCTCTCTATTTTTTTCTTTCTCTATTTTTTCCCTTTTCCTATTTTTTTCTTCTCTATTTTTTCCCCTTTTCCTATTTTTTTCCTTTCTCTATTTTTTCCCTTTCTCTATTTTTTTTATTTTTCCTCCGTCTCTTTTTTTCCCTTTCTGTATATTTTTCCTCCTCAATTTTTTCTCTTTCTCTATTTTCCCCTTTCTATATTTTTTTCTTTTTTTCTTTTTACTCTCTTTTACTCGTTTTCCTTTCTCTTTTTCTCTTTTTGAAAAGCAATTATCCCAAAAAAAAATTTTCTAAATGACAATTCTCCTAAATAATTTGCAAATAAATTTTTCAACTACTCAAAAATTCGTTCAATAAAAATTCCGCGATAAAGTGTTTGAATAAAAATTTGATTTTCATATTAAAAATTCAACTAAAATTAAAAAAGAAAAAAATAAATTAGTGAAATTAAACAAAAGCTAAAGAAAAACGATAAAATACAAATTATGTAAATAAAAAGATAAAAATAAAAATTCGCTCAGCTAAAAATATATTTCTTTTAAAAATGTTTTAATGAAGAAACTAAATAAATATTTTTAATGAAGAATTTAAAAAAAAAGTTTACCATTCAGTTTAAAGGAAATGAATTTGAAATCACTGTATGAATTTTAAATACCATGCGAAATTCAAAAGTTAAAAATGTTTGAAGGTCCGGAAATAAAGTACCTTGAAACTAAAAGAGATTCAAATTAGATTTGCTTCTTTTTGCTCAAAGAAATATATAAAAGAAAAGTTATAAAAATCGCAAATAATTCAAAATCATTTCTGTCATTTGTAATTATCAATAATTTACATCGTTTATGTATAGAAAATAATTAGAAAAATTACCATTTCGATAATTTTTTAACAAATAATAATAACACACTAATTTTTTTTCATGATACTACTAATAGTTAATAAACTTGTTTTTTTAGTGTAAATATAAAGAAAAACAGAAAAATAATATTAATTTTTCCTAGCCAGTGTAATAATAAATAAATATTTCCTAACATTATATAAACAATAATTTAATTATACATATCATATTTTAGATATTATTTATTTATTTAATATTTCAATTTGAAAAAGAGCAAAAAAATTTCAAGGAGAAGAGAAAATTCGTTAAATAATCAGAATCAGAATTGAGTAAAAAAAATATTTATAAATAAACAATTGAATGCACTTCGAGCGATGATAAATTAATTATTTAATAAATCAAAAAGAAACTGACATTTTCACTCTGCCTTGAACGCATGCAGATTTCACACTTAACTTGTATAAATATTCAACATTTTTCCCTTTACATAACTCCTATTGCAAAGCGGAACAATTTTTATCTAAAAATTACAAAATTATTATTTATAATCGAGAGGGAAATAAATTTCCCGTAAATTCGAATAATCGAAGAGTATTAATTTAATTTTGAAAAAAATACCAATAATTCTCGCATTTTTTTAAAAATAATAATAATTCCAAAAATAAAGATAATAAAAATAATAAAAAGGAAAATAAAAATAATAGCAATAAAAATATTAAAAATAAGAATAATAATAATAAAAATATAGAAAGGGAAAAAATAAAGGGAAAAAAAGAAAAAGCGAAAAAATACAGAAAAGGACAAAATAAAGAAAGAGAAAAAATAAGAAAAGGTAAAAAATAGAGGAGAAACAAAATAGGGAAAGCGAAAAAATACAGAAAGGGATAAAGAAAGAGAAAAAATAGGAAAAGGGAAAAAAATACAGAAAGGGAAAAAGTCGAGAAGGAGAAAAAATGCAGAAAGGAAAAAAGTAGAGAAAGAGAAAAATTAAGAAAAGGAGAAAAATAGAGAAGGAGAAATAATACAGAAAGAGATAGAAATAGAGAAAGGAAAAAAAATTCAATTATATTCATAATATTTTTAATTATTTTAAAATGTTAGGAAACAAAAAAGCAAATAATAAAAATAAGAATAAAAACAATAAAAATAATAAATTTTTTTAAAATTAAAATAGAAGAAAAGTAAAATTGAATATACATAAAATATTTCTATTATTATACTATTATCATTATTATAATGCGATAATAATTGAGAGGAGATTATATTATGATAATAATAATATCGCTATATTTGCAAAATAGAGAGGAGAAAATCAGATTTTGTCAGTTGTCTGGTTTTCTAAAATTTAATTACAACTGCGATTGTATACACGGACTGAATCCTCTTGTGAAACAAAAGGCAGCATCTCATTTGTTCGAAAGATGAGAGATCCTCTCTGGTCGTCATTCATCTTAGATGATTTCGAGTGGATTATGTTTTCGCTACCGTAGTTACGTCATCATTTCGCATAACACAATTGTGTTCGTAAACAAAACAAAAACTGTCACGAAATTCCAATCGCCCTTTCGTTTTAATAAGATGAAAATTCTTTTATTTAATTAAATAATTAAATAAAAGAATTTTCCTTATAATTTATTATATTTACTTTTTTGTTTCCTACTTTTCTCTTTCTGTATTTTATTTCCTTTTCCTATTTTTTCCCTTTCTGTATTTTTTCCCCTTTTCCTATTTTTTCTCTTTCTATATTTTTTCCCTTTTCCTATTTTTTTTCTTTCTCTATTTTTTCCTTCTCTGCTTTTTTCCCTTTCTGCATTTTTTCTCCTTCTTTATTTTTTCCTGTCTCTATTTTTTCGCTTTTTGGATTTTTTCCCTTTTCCTATTTTTCCCTTTCTGGATTTTTTCCCTTTTCCTATTTTTTCCTTTTCTGAATTTCTCCCTTTATACATTTTTTCTCCTTCTCTTTTATTGCCTTTCTGTAAAAAATTTTCTCTATACTAATAAAGAAATTTATTTTTAATTCCCAATTTCAAAAATTCATTTGAAAATAAGACTTTTCAGTTCTTATTTAACAAAAAGTTTCATTTCTATTTAACAGAAATTTTCATTTATAAAGCAATAAAGATCAGTAAATTAAATATTTGTTCCAAAGTCTTTTTCCGCAGTATTGTGAACAGTTATTAAAAATAAATACGCAATGCCCTTGAGAGAAAAAAGAGAAAGAAATTATGAAGGAAATTTTCTTTTTCTTCTTTTTCAACAAAAAGAGGAAGTATTCTAGAAAAAATACCATTCTTTTTCTTTTTTAGGGGAAAAAAAAATAATACCTGCTTGTCCCTTTCAGCTGTCGCTTTACCGGAATCAAAGTCAACTGTAGTTTTTGTCGTGAGATCCGGTTTTTCGCGGATCTTTTCCATTATGAAGTCCATAACAGACATAATAGCCTCGATACTGCCAGTGATTAAACATACTCGTTCCGTGGTTCCTGAAATAATAGCAAACAATCGTTAATATTTCAAATTAATTAATTTTCTATTAATGTTAATATTAATCTTATTAACTAAAATTCGAAAATTTAAAAAACGGACAATTTGCAGGCCTCGAATCGACCTTTTCGATTTACAGAAAAGTTTTCGACTTCTTTTCCTTATTCCGATAAAAAAACTTGTACTAAAAATTCAAACTCTTTGTAAAATTCAATTATTTTCAAATTATTTCAATTATTTTTCAACTATTTTCCAAATTTTTCTTTAAGAACGATTATTTTTCAAAAATTGTAATAAAATTCGGCAAAATATAAAAATTTCAATAAAATCTGTCGAAAAATTTTTTCTACCTCAAGAATTTTTTCTGACTAAGAAATTTAATATTTTTCCGCTGCTTTGGATAAAAGCATTTTGTTGCAATAATATTTGTAAGAAAAGTCGAAATATAGTCGCATTTTTGGTGAAATAATTTGAAAAAATCGAATAATATCCGCGGTCTGAAATTATATAACGAGATTATTTGATTAAAGAATAAGTTAATTTTAATTGATAATTACGTATCACTGTTGAAAGATATTTTAATTATCCTTATGCAATCAGATAATGAAGATTATAAATGTGACAAGTGGTATTCGAGAGAAATAAAAAGAAGGGGGGGGGGGGAAAGAAGTGAGAAAAAAAAGACGAAAGAGGGAAAAAGAGAAAAATAAAAAGAAGAGGAAGAAAAAAATAAAAATGAAGGGAAAAGGAAAAAAAAGAAGACGGAAGACGGAAGAAAATAAAAAACAAGGGGGAAAAGAAGAAAAATAAAAAGAAGGAGAAAAAGGACAGAAATAAGAAGGAGGAAAAAGAGAAAAATAAAAAAAGTGGGAAAAGAACAGAAATAAAAAGAAGGAAGAAGGAAAAAAAATAAAAAGAAGGAAAAAAGAGATAAATAAAAAGGAGGAAAAAGGAAAAATAAGAAGAAAGAAATAAAGAATTACCAGGATAAAAGTCGTGAGATTTCGACATCTTGACTCTAGCCCCCGTATCCTTTTGTAATTGAGCAATAGTTTCTCCTCCTTTTCCAATGATGGCTCCAGCCGCCACCCCCGGAACCAGAACTTTGAGGTGATATGTGCCATCTCCTCCTGTAAACGAGAAAAACAATTTTAAAATTTTAAAATCAAAAATTTAATTTAATTACTTAAAAATTTATCAAAAAAACAAAAAAAATTACTTTTCTCTCCCAATAAAATATTAAATTACAAATTTTGTCAAATCATGGCATTTTTTTCAACAATTTAATTTTTTTAATCAAGAAGAAAAATAACAACATTCTTGTCGTTCGTGTTCTAAAATATCACTCCAGCTCTTGAAATAAAATGACAATATTTGTAACACTATTTTCAGCAGCAAATCATTTTTTTATTTACAAAAAACGAAAATAATTTCCAAGACACGTTCAAAGTTTATATTTTCAAATTTTCTTTTCACTTTTTGAATATTGTCATTCAGAAAAATTATTCGCAAATGGAAAATTTTGAGGAAAGAAAATTATTTCCTATCAAAACAGAAATTCATTTAAATAATAACTCTAAATTATTAAATAACGAAAATTATTACCAAAATATAACTAAATAATTATTAACTAAATATTAACTATATAATTATTAACTTAAATAATTAACGAAATATTGACTAAATAAATTATTAACTTAAGTAATTAAATAAATGTTAACTTAATAAATTAATAACTAAAAACTAAAACTATAATTAAAATTAATTAATACATTAAAAGTTGAAAATAGTATGTTTATTTATTAATTATTATCTCCTTTCCTACTTGAATAAATAAATTATTTACATATTATTTATCATGATTATTAATAATTATTATTATCTCGTTTACTACTTAAATAAATAAATTATTTACTTTTGTTTATTATTAATTATTCATTATTATAATAATAATTATGCTTCTAATTAGTAACAAAAAGCAAATATTAATAATAATTCTTATTATTATAAAAAAAATACTGCGCAAAATGGAATTTTTCAAGAAAAACAAAATAAGAAAATGAAAAAAAGATAAAAACTTATTGATTATATAATAAAAAAAATAGTAAAAGAATCTAGTTTTCAATAAATGAAACGATCTTTTGAGAGAATCAAATAATTCCACGTTTAAATTACGTCAATTACGAATTTTCTACGTACGATTAAATCTGAATTTTATTTCTATAACCTTTTCATTATTCGTGCTTGATGGTATTATGCTAATAAAACGTCAAATTAGATTCCTGTTCAATTGCAAGAAATTTTTTTTTTCAAAAGTTATTAAAAAAGAGAAAAAACAACTTTTATGCTGGCAATTTTAAAAATAAAATCACTTTTACTATTCGCAAAAAAAAAAAACATGAAATGTTATTTTCGTGAATAGCAAAAATAAGAAGAAAAATAAAAATAAAAAACAAGAAAAGGAAAAAAATTTGTTGAAAATGTAAAAATTCATCGTACAGCTCATTAAATATAATAATAATTTAATTACAACAAAAATAAAATAAAATTATAATAATATAACAACAAAAATAATTATAATGAATAATGCATTTTCCTTTTCTTCCCCGTGAATAAAAAAAATAATAACAACAACAATAATAATAGTAATAATAACATAATAACAACAACAATAATAGTAAAATAATAATAATATAATAATAATAACAATAATTGAGACATAAAATAAAATATTTGTAGAAAAATATTTATTCATAATCATTTAATTATTTCGTCCTTTAAAAAAAAAATAAAAATAAAAAAAGGGAAAGTAATAAAATAAAAATTTAAATAATTCCCTTTTCTACTCTCTGTGAATAATTTTTGAAAAGTTTCCAATAATTCATTTTTGAGTTGTTCAATTCCGAAAATTGACTAATTAGCTAATCAATAATCACTCGATGTGCATCATTAGAAAGAATTTCTACATCTCTGTTGAAATCTCTCTCTCTCTCTCAGATAGTGAGTGAAAAAAAAAGAGAGAAAGAGCTCTCCACTTACAAAACTGATAGAAACGTTTCGGAATCAATAGAAGGCGTGTTTACATATCAAATGATTGCGCAATTTGACCTGGAATGCATTTACAGTTTTGCACGTGTAAAACGAAAATGATGCTACTAATAATTATTGTCATAATATCCGCTTCCCCTATTTATCGGCAGTCACATCTTCTCTTCCCCTCTTTCTCTCCTTCTTTATTTCTTTGACTCTATTTATTGAAAAAAAGGTATTATAGTTAAAAAAAAATTAAAATTACAACAGAAAATCACGTTTTCGTCTTTCTTAAGTGTTTGTAAATTTATTTTAAACGACGAAACGCTCATTTTCTCGTCTAATTAAAAATTAAGAAACTTATTTAATGATCCTTGAAAACTAACTAACGATAATTATAATATTTATACAAATTTATAAAAAGCGTGTGAAGTATTTCCAGAACTCAAATTCTTTACTCTCTTTTTTACTTTTTTCTCTTCCGTTTTCATCTTTATTTATTTAGCTTTAAAGAAATTAATTTTTTCATGAATTTACTTTTTTATTTAATTTTTTCATAAATTTACTTCTTTATTTAATTTTTTTAACTTACTTATTTTTAATTTAAAAAAAAATATAAAAAAATAAACCCAAACAAAAATATTGTTTTTGTTTTCTTTTCGCGCTTATAAATATTATAATTTAATGCGCATGTAAAATTTATTTTGAAAAATGTTTTCTTTCGCAAAAATCATCTCTATACAATCTAAACACTTGAGAATTTCAGAAAATTATTGATTTCCCTTTCGAAATTGTTTCACTTTATTTTACAAACGCCAAGGAAAATTTACTGTTTTTACTAAGATGCAATGATGATGATGATGATGGCGAAATAACTTAGTGGCATGATATTGAATCCAAAAATAGGACAAAATTTTGCGAAATTTCTATAAAAAGCGGATATAATAAATTTTTCGAAAATTAATTTTAACCTCCTTAAAAAAACAAAAAGAAAATTTTCTCTTCAAGGAATATCAATTATCGCATAAAAATAAAAATTACAGTAATTTGTAAATAAATATGTAAATATTATCCATAAATAAATAAATATTATCTATAAATAAATCAATATTATTTATAAATAAAAAATAATAATAATACACAAATAAATTAATAAATTAATAATTAATTAATTAATTAATAAATACGAAAATAGAAAACGTAAAAAATAGTAAATGAAAAATAAAATAATAAACAATAATAAATGCAAATTAAAAAAAATATTTAATAATAAGAAAATTAGTGAATCAATAAAAATAAATAAAAAATAAACTCCTGACAAATAGAAATTCTACAGCAAAAGAGAAAATCGAGAATATAGACGAATTAAAAAAAATACCATAAAATACGAAAATATTGAATAAAACCCGAAGAAACTGAAGAGGCAAGTGCGATATGTGTTATTTTCCGTCAAAAGTCTAGACTCCGAGGTTACACAACATTAAAAATGAATAATCTCATCACTAATGGTAATAGATAACATCGCCGAGAATTCAACGCTAACAACGTAAATCTCAATACATTAATACACGTTTAAAATATTTTCTATATAATTAATATTCCTACTTCTAAAATATTCCTTTTCTTTCGTAACAGAAAAAAAATCCATTTTCCTATAATTTTCATCTCGAAATCCGTGTATATTATCGGAACGAATTATATTATCTATAAATGCCTGCTGTTATTTGTTGCAGTATGTATATTGTAAATCAAAACAAGTGAAACCGGAGATTTTTGTTAATCACGACACACGATGATAAGAAACCTGAAACGAATCAAGTCAAGTTCACTATCAGTTACATATGTGTCTATTTTGTTCCTAGTTTTATTTTTACATTTTTCCCATTTTTCAATTCATATTTCATTTTCAATTCATATTTTAAATTGTAGCTTGAAATTCTCTTTTTTTCTGCAGTTTTATTCCTTTTTATTATTCCCATAGATAAACCGATCGTGTCATTTTTTCCTTCTTCCGTAAAATAATTTCGAATTCGTAATTTTTGTATAAAGTCCGTAATTTCATTCAAAAAAGATGAAAAGTTCGTAAATTGTACGATATAATTTTGAGAATTTTAGAGAAATTACAAATAATTGCAGAAAGTCAATTATTTTTAAAAGTAATAAAATTCTTCGCAAAAATTCAATTATGTTCAAATTTTTTTTTAAATTCTCGTCAAAATTTCAATTATCTTTAGAAATATTAAAATTCTTCTCCAAAATTCAATTATTTTCAAAAAATTTTAATGAAATTCATATTAAAAAATTTCAATTATTTTCATAATTAACAATATTTATCACACGAATTCAATTATTTTTTAAAGTAATAATATTCAATTATTTTCAAAAATTTTAATAAAATCCTGATGCAAAATTTCAATTATTTTCAAAAGTAATAAAATTCTTTTTAGGAGAATTCAATTATTTTCAATAGAATTTTAATCAAATTCCTCGAAAAAATTCTTAAAAATTTTATTAAAATTTAAAATTCGTCCAAAGAATTTAATTATTTAAAAATTTGTTGATAAAATTTTTAATAGGAATTGAATTCCAAGAAACATTCGATTATTTAATAAATTATTTTTTTGCATTTTATTTGTATTTAAATAATTAAATATTTGGGTAGAATTTTCTCATAAACATTGATTTAAAAATAGATTTTAGTTAAAATCTTAGATTATAATAATCGAATTCTTTCAAAGAATTTCATTAAAATTTTAAAAATTATTAAATTTTATCGAGACATTTTTTTTCAAATTGTTTTAAAAATAATTAAATTTCTACCAAAAAATGTTTTATCAAAACTTTTTTAAAATATTTGAATTTCTGCTAAAATTCTGATATTTTAAAAAATAATTGAATTTTGTAACTAATTTTTTTTGAAAATGTTTAATTGAGTTTTTTAAATATTATTTTTAGTTTCTATTTTCTAATATTTATTTAATTAAAGAATTTACGAATAATTGAAATTTCGTAAAATTTAATATTGTAAAGAAATAAATTTGAAAATTGTCAAAGAACTTTTTCGAAAAATTATAAAAAATTAATATAGATAATCGATATAAAGAATAATTTTAGATAAAAATTCTTAAAAATAATAATTGAATTGATAATGATTTTAATTATTATAAATTATTTTTATTAATAATTATTATTAATTATTATAAAACATGAAGAAATCGATGACTTCGAGTCGAAGACTCGGAGTAGTTATCGATTTCTTCATGTTTTATAAAACTATGGAAAATTGAATTTCTAGTTTTAAGTAAAATGTTCTCTTATTTGATTCTTAACCTGAAAAAGTTTGATCGATTCCGCTATAATATATCGGGAAAGTATGAACAAATTTTGTATCTATTTTAAATATTTTAGGAATTTTAGTTATAAAAATTTTGTAAGGGGGGAATTACGGGAATTATTATAAGCACTTGACGCACGCTATACGAGAGTGAAGAGCAGAAGAGAATCTTTTTTCTCTTGAGAAAAATTTCAATGACAAATTAGCAGTTGGCAAGCAGCGCAAAAGGTGTCGTGTCGTTAAATACAAACAGCTGTTTGACAGATGGAAGCCCGTGCGTGTCGTGTACTGAGTCGTTTCGACCTTGACCCGCGACCTCGCTTTGCAACGGTGCCCAACGACTTGATACCAATGCGCCATATCCTAGAGTCCAGGTCAACCCTTTTCTCTCTCCCAGGCTTCGAATATCCCCGAGGATCCTGGGAATACGCTACTGCACCATTGCCCCCCCCTCTATTCACCTAAATATTACTCTATTCCCTCGCCCCACCATATTCCCTCTATTCACTACTCAATAAATTGTAATTGTCTCGGGAAGAAAAAAAATATTGTTTTCCGATGTCTATTTTTTTCTGACCTAATCATTTCTAACAAAAACTTTTAACAAATCTTTTTTGTAAAAATCTTTTCTCTTTTCATAAAATCTTTTTCACTAGAAAAAAAAACAGTCTTGAAAATTTTAATTACTAAAACACTTCTAGTTCTTTTTGTGTCGGTAGGTAAACACAAATTTTACCGCAAGAAATTAGATTTCTTTTTTCACCGCAAGTGTGAAATTTAAAATAATTGATCACAGCATAAATAATATTTATATTATAACATTCATGAAAATACCCCCCCCCCCCTTAGGACATTTTTATGGAAGTGACAGAATTTTTCGTTTTGACACCACCGCCATCTTTTTTTTTGCCTTCGAGAAATATTACTGTAACTTTGTCACTGCTTTGATGGAATAATTCCGTATTTTTTTCTCTGAAAAAAGGATTTTTTTTCCACTGAATCAATAATTTTTCCTTAATTTTTACGTCCCTTTTTCGATAATAAACCACAAAAGAAAATTTTCCTCTCTTTGAAAAAGATAATTTCCTATTACAAAGAAAAAAAATTTTCTACCACTCAAGAGGAAATTGAGTTCACCGACCGAGAAACGATTTTTCACTGGCCCGGAAGAAAAATTCTCTCTCTCTCTCTCTCTTTCTCTCGGGTCAGGAACGTTATAGTTCCTGACCCGAGAGAGAGAAAGAGAGAGGTTACACCAGGAAGATGAGAGGAGGATGAAATTTTTTGCAGAGTCATATGTACCAGAGACTATAGTCTCCATTATAAAGAGACGAATCCAAACGCCCACACATAGAGAAACGTCAAATTCAAAACAAACAGGTGTTAGGATGCGACGTGGCACATACACATTAATATATTCAAAAAAAGTATTCTCCAATTCCAAGAATGAAATTCTAAATATGTAGGTACAATTGAAAAGAAATTGTTTGAATTGTGTAGGTGTTTTTCTCGAGGGGGAAAAGTGAATTTAAACAAGGTTTTAATATTATGTAGGTCAAATTTTCTCCCCCCTCGCCCATCAGGCATTTCAAAAGAATAATTTTCCCCATGTGATAAATTACGATTCTCACTTTCGAATTTTTTAAAATGTTTAGAAATACTCGCTCGGATGTATTTAAATTCAAATGCACCGTTAATCAAAAACATTTTTAAAAAAAACTTCAAAAAAAAAAAAGAATCAAAGAATAGAAATAAAAAGAAAATAAACATTTTCGTATTAAATACTTTTTTCTATTTTTAAGACCTTTGTGAATAGCAAGTACTCGAGCAAGTAATAGACTTTACAGGAAAAATTTTGTTTTACATACTTAACTCCGAAAAAGAGATTATCGGGGAATAGAAAAAACACACAACAGTGAAATTGGAGCAGACACACAAGACACGAATGATCGGTGAGCTAAAAATAGTCGCGAAAAACTCACACTTGCATAAAGGGGGGAAAAAAAATCGAAAGCTCAGGTGTAGAAAAACATTGAATTAAATAGTCGGACGAGCTAGAGAGCGAATGTCATTGCTTCACTTCGAAGGCGTGTGCGAGTGACATAACACGTCAATTTCACGTCGCACTAAACTTCCTTGAAGGCCGCGATCCGCCTTCAGATTCACAATATGAACACACTCACACGCATTTAACACCAACTTTTTCGCGACCTTTTTCTTTTAAATATACGCAAATATTAAATAAAAACAGAATTCTGTATTTTTTTTTCTAATTTCCGATATCGTTTTCGCCTTCTGGTTCGGAGTTTTGCTCGAGGCTTTACACCCCTCCTTCAACCACAGTTGTGAAATACACAATTTTAGAGGTTATGTTTTGCCATTTTTTCACTTTGGGTATTTACCTGAACCATAGTGGGACCTCTTCGTCGCTCCATTCTCGACATCGCAATCTAGTGGACGCTTCCTGGAGTCCGCGATCTCTGGGGAGGGACACGTTTCCATTCCCGAGTCGGCGGCCATCTTGACGAGGTTGTTGTTTCGCGCAGACTGAAACACAAGACAGACAGACACGACGGACGTCCCTCGACGGGTCTCGGGAGCAGACGATTTGTTCCCTGGTGTGTAAACGACACAAACCGCACTTAGATAATGATGTGTTGTCCCCGCACACTATCAAAAAAAAATAATTTCACCACTATTTTTCTTGTTTTGATTATTATTTTTTTTTTCTTAAAAGAGGAAGAAAGCAAAAAAAAGAGTAAATCGTGACGTGTGTGTGTGTGTGTTGTACGTTCCTATTTAATAAATGTTATTTTGAAATAAAAATTTTTTTTTGTAGGAGGGGGGAGGGAATAATATATACTCTGGGGAACGATGGATGGTGTGTTTTTAAGGGAAATGAAAATTGATGATGAGAAGAACGTACGAACGATCGGGGGGCGACACACTCACTCGCATTAGCGGAGTGCCGCGTCTCACTGACGACTAGGTGCTCAGTGGCCAGCGAGTTGAGCTCGCCTCGCGGCGCCTTGGACAAACTTTGTGTCACTATGTCAGGTTCCTTCATTGCCCTCTCACTTGCTTGCATTACAATTTAAATACGCGCGCAGGAAAATAGGTTTCTCTCGCTCGCTCCCTTGCTCGCTTCTCATCATTTGCTCGCGCGCGCACACACAGTGTTGGTGAGCCAGGGCCGTAAATTGCTGGACCGTGTTGCCCGGGCTACAAGGTATTTTTTTTCAATCATATTGTATATATTTATATATTTAGAGGAAAAAGAAAATATAACGTGTGCTTTTTTTTCTCCCCTTTGGGTTAATTTTAGTTGAGTTCCGGGGCGAGGGAAAAAAAAAGTGACACGAGAAATTTTGGGAGACAATAATTAAAGAGTCAATATTGGAGAAACTCTAGGGTTCTTTCATTATTCGCAGGATGTGCAATACATTGTTTACACAAATGTCAAAAGGGTAATAGTCAGCAGTGCATGGAGGGTTGCATAGTATAAGGTCGTCCCCTTCAAGTGCCCCTGACTGTGCGTTAATTAATATTAATGCAATATTATTCGTAAATCAATATTTGTCTATGCTTTTGTTCTAAATTCGACTTAATTTGTTACTTTATATCTAATTATTTTATTTTAATTATTACTATTATTTTCTACTTACAAAAATACTAAAACAAAAATAACAATTAAAAATAACTTAACTTATTACTTTATAATTATATTAATTTTGTTAGTATTATTATTTACTTAAAAAAAATAAAAACACTAATAGAAAAAGGTATAAAAATTAATAATAATATTATTAATAAATAATAATAAATTATTTTATATTATTATTATTCTTTACTTAAAAAAACAAAAATAGAAAAAAGTATTTAAAAAATAATAAAATAATAAAAATAACGATGGAAATAATAATAAATTCTATTTTTAAAGTCACTTTTTTTAAAATATTCCAATAAAGACGAAAGGAATATTATTTTTAGAGTAAAAACTGACACTTTTGAGGCAATAATCTCGCATCTTATTAAAAGGGAAAATATAAAAGATAAGAAATGAAAATGTAATCTTAATATTTTGATAAGAAGTTTTAAGGGCTAATAACCTTTGCCGATAAGTTAAACGAATTATCTTTCGTTTTATAAGTCAACAAAAAAAAGAAAAAGTTTTTTTTTAATTTCGTTTTGAAAAAATCATTTCTGTTAAATATTTTTAGTTTTTTCTCTAATAAAATATTTAATATTACATTTAACACTTTCATTTATCATTGAAATTGAAATATTTCAATAATAATAACAACAATTAATAATAATTAAATTATTATAATAATATAACAATTAATATATTATTTAATTATTTATTATTTATTTAATTATTATAATAATTTAATAATAATTAAAACATATATTAAAAAAAATAATTTATAAATTTATGAAATAGTATATTGTGTGGCAAGGGCGGAAAGTTGTCAATTCCTGACCGAGTTCGAAATTTGCCGCACGAGCGAAGCGAGGGTGGCAATCGTACGAGGTCAGAATTGACATTTCCGCCCGAGTTGCACACGATATTTTTTGTCCAAATGCGCGATAAACAAGACGCATCCGTAAATTCAAAAATGAATATGCACTAATTATTAAATGTGTATGAAACATTTTTATTAAGCCTAAGGCGAGTCCGAATATTTTTGATAAATTTTACTTAAAAATTGACTCCGTTTTGATTTGAAGTAATAGAAAGTGATAATATAATAATTAGTAGTATTTATTTAATACTGCTAAAGCAGCGGGCGGAAAAGTCGTTTTTCCGCCCGCTAAGGCCATGGAGGCGGGCGGAAAAGTGATTTTTCCGCCCGCTGCTGGTAAGCGGGCGGAAAAGTAGTTTTTCCGCCCGCTGTTGGTAGTCGGGCGGCAAAAGCTTACTTTCCGCCCGCTATGCATGCACGGAAAGTCGAGTTTATCGCGCATGTAGGACAAAAAATAATTTAATTAATCAAAATTCTTTATTAATTATTAGGAAGTAAATTAATTAATACAACAACAATAATAAAAAATAATTATAATAATCATATTAATTTTAATTAATTAATTAAATTAGTTTAATATTTAAAATTAGAAATAATAGAAAAATTGTAATAATAATAATAAAAATAATAATAACAAATAAACATAAAAAATTTAATAAAAAAATACTTTCGAATTAGGAAAAAAAAAATTTGTTATAATTTTTGTTGCATCACAAAAGTTTGAAATTATTACTCGATTAATAAGTTAGACGAGAAAGATGGAATTGAATTAGGAAAATTAATTTAAAAAGAAAGTTATTGTAAGAGTGAGAAAAAAAATAAGAGAAACCAGTGAGAAAGTTTAATAATCAAATTATAATTATAGTGATGATGAAATATATAATTTCTTTAATAAATTAAATAACGTTTTGAGGAGGGAAAAAAAGAAGAGAAGAAGAATGTCTGTTATTTTAAGTCACTTCATTATTTGTTTAAAAAAATAGTAGACAATAACTACTTTTCTTGTCTCTTAAAAGAATCCAAATATTGTTTTTGTTTTTTTTTCACGCGGCTTTTGGTTGTTTTTATATAATATTAATTAGTTTCTAGAATTTTTTCCCCTAAAATTCGTTTTTAAATTAATTGTTTTTCATAATTTTGAAAATTTAATTATATATTCTACAACATTTCTACTACAACTCATTAAATATTTTATTATTACCCAAAAATTTTAATTTTTTATTTTAATTTTTTAATTTTAATTTTTAATTTTAATTTTTAATTTTTAATTTTTAATTTTAATTTTTAATTTTAATTTTTAATTTTAATTTTTAATTTTAATTTTTAAATTTAATTTTTAATTTAAATTTTTAATTTAAATTTTTAATTTTTAATTTTAATTTTTAATTTTAATTTTTAATTTTTAATTTTTATTTCTAATTTTTTATTTTTTTAATTTTTAGTTCTCTAATTCCATTATTTTTTACAAATTTTTATTACAGATCTCCAAAAATTAAATTGTTATTAAAAACAAAAGAAAATTCGCTTAAAATACAATATTTAAAAATCACAACTGTTTTCAATTAAATTTTACAAAAATTCTATTATAGAAAAATTTTTCAATTATCTTTTTTAAAATTCAATTAATTTGAATTGAAATTTTTCGAATAATTGAATTGTGTAAAATTTTGAAATTTTTATTGTTTCTCAAAATTTTTACCATATAAATCTTCCGAAATTGAATTATTTTCCATACATAGAATTTTATATTTAAAATTTTTTACTAATTTAATTAAAATAATAATAATAATAATAAAATTTATCATGCTCTCTAACTTTTTACTTTTAAATTAGTAAATTCAATTCATTTTACTAATAAATAGTAATTTCTACTAATTTATTAGTAAAAATTTACTAATTCAAAAGCAAAAATTAGTAGAAAATAATAAATTAGTAGATTTAATTGATTACTAATTAACAAATTAGTAGAATTTTGTTTAATTAGTAAAATTTGATAATTCAATAAGCAAAAATTAGTAGATTTAATTTATTACTAATATTGACAAATTATAGTAGAAATTACTATTTATTATTAAAATTTACTAATTCGAGAATAAAAAATTATGTCAGTAATTAAAATTAAATAATTAGTAAATATTTTTACTAATTCAAAATTTGTGGCTAAAAAAATTACGTCAGAAATTTATTTATTTACCAAATTTTAAAAAACTTCAAAAACTTCTCCTAATTTTTCCAAGTTTAATAAATAAATATTCTAACTATTTTTTTTTAGACAATTAATATAATTATTCTTTTTGGCCTTTTTGAAATTAATTTCTTGAAAATAATTTGGGTATAGTAAATAATTATTATTTTTTTTCTTGAGAATATAAAAAATACAATAAATTATTGTAATCTTTTTGCTATCAAATTTGAAATGACGAGGCAAAAAGGGACAATATAAGAAATTAGTTATGCAGTTGGAAATCTATAATAAAGCAAGTGCTATATAGAAATGGGTAAAGAAATATGTAACATGTAACAATGCACTGTTTTGTTTTGCATTAGTACACTCACGTGCAGTGGCATGCGTGTCATGCATTAACAAACTATAAATGCACTCAGCAATTGACTATTCACAATATATATATTGTATATGTATTCAGCAACGAATATATATTCAATATATTGAAGCAACTTAACATGGTTCACATACAAATATATTTATACATGTATCCCGGAAGCCCGAAAACGACAAATAAAGCACGAATGCTTTTTATTTGTAAATAAATATATATTTATTCGCTAATATATTTTTAATAGAACCGCTATTATTGCAAATATCTTGTAAATTCAATTTATTTAGTGAACGAATTATTGGACTAAAGATAATCCTTGAATTAAAGTGAATTCGAAATTTAAATCCATTTACTTATATTAATTGTTAATTCTTTATATCAGAATTTTTCCGCACGTTAAATGAATAAATATTCTAACTATTTTTTTCAGACAATTATTAAAATTATTCTTTTTCTTTATTCTGATGAGAAATAATTATAAAATTACAAATATATTGACGAAATGCACAAAAATCTTGAGATTCAATATATGGAGACGCTATTTCTCCACCTGAGAACGCCAAGGTCACCGCTAGATGGCTAGACGCCATCTAGCGTTGACCTTGGCGTTCTCAGGTGGAGAAATTAAAACCACAATTTTATCAAGGAATTTTTTTTCGCCAATTAAAAAATGGGAGAATAATTTAATTTTTTTCTTTCTTTCCACAGTAATTAATTAAATAAATAAATAAATTAATTAATTAATTATTTTTTTCTTAATTTCCTATTAAAATAAAAAAAAAAAATAATTTAGCTAAAATATATAAAAATGTGTTCTGAAATAGTCTAAAATATTCTGGATGGCGAACATCACGACTTTGAAAGTTTATGACGAGACCAGTGGAGTAAAATAATGAGAGTGTATTATTAGTAATCGCTTTGTTAGACACACCTTTATATTTTACA